GAACTTTAAGCAAGAAACAATATCAAGTTCAAGGATTGAGGGTGTGGATGTGGGCTTTTATTATATCAACATCCCACACCCATAGGACGCGATCAACAGAGTAAGGAATCCTTTGTCTGAAATTTTAATGCTTAATTACGTGTCATCTTGATCATTCTATCAAAGTAACTTTCCATCAAAAACGTTTAGGTTATCATCTTCATTCGATATCTCAATGTGAGTCTCTCAACAACTCTAGACACTTTTCGAAAGTGCTCGCTCATTGTTAAAGCGAAACTGTTATATTCCAACTAATTCTTTATACGCGTCTGCTTTCAGAGAACGAATGAAACATCATTGCAGTAATACTTGTCAACAAAATCGATACATAAATAGTAGTTGCTTTTTTCGGTTTTAGAGGACAAAATTTTTGACATTGTCATATCTCAGTTGAGACTTCATACAGGCAATGTTTCATTGAAATTGGTGACATTGCCCATATTTCACTGATCTCTTTCATGCAGTAATTCAAAACCTCTGTAGCGTATTTGTTCTTTATGCGGGAGTGTTTTTATTAAATTGACATTTTAAGTTGTGAATAATAATTATTTAAAGATATAAGCAGAATATATACTGTAATGTGTTTATTCATTCAGATTGTATCTCAAGTAGCATTACTGTCTGGTCAACCAGATAAATTAAAAACAAAGAACTTTACTCAATTGCCAATAATGTTAGGTATGAATTTCTATTATTTGCATATCTTGTTTTTTCCTCGATAAGAAACTACCATCGTAAATATTTCATGGAAAATAATGAAAATAGTTATAATTAAGAATAAAGCAAAAAATAATATTTGATTCTAGCTGATAAATCTGCAGTAAAAATTCAAGGTGCTTATCGTAATCATCAAGCTCGACTTAGATTAAAAAAACGAGCAGCATGGCAAATACATGAAAAACTTGAATATTCCAGTGAACAAACTGAAGCAAAAGTAAAAGAAAATATTGTATTATTTTTATAATTGCATTAGTATTTGAAATTTATTTATACATATTAGTTGAGGGATATATTTGAAAAATTACTTAGAGCATCTAATTCACTTGCTCCATCTGTTTCAAAATTACTTCAAAAAGCTCGATTACCTGTGGAAGAAAAAGAACTTTTAAGATTAACAAATCCTGATAGTATTCCTGTTGAAGCTAGTTATTATGGACCACGTAAGCGGTTATTTCTGGGTTTTTTTTCTATAAATTAAATGAATTGATAATTCATTTTTTCGTAGGCATCGAAGGTCCAATTACAAGGCAGACATTTGTAAATTTAATTGAAGCTTTTCAATATGGAGAAGTAAGTAAGACACAACATTCAACACAAACTGTAGAAAATTAAGATATAAAATACGATAAAGTACTTTAGGGTGTGAATGTGTAGAGAATATCCACGCCTATAGTCATCCACACCCTACACCCTAACAAAAGAGTATAACTGATTCTGTAATCACTATAATTCCTAAAAAAAAACTGAAGATTTCGTTTGAATAAATCAGATCATATTGCATGAACCTTTATATTATTATAATCTATGATTCTTCATCTATTCATAGATTTTACATGAAAAATATGTCTGTCAAATTCTTCATCAAGCACGTGCTATACTTAAAACTTTACCAAATTATAATCCTATTGATTTATCTCATTTACATCATATATACATTATTGGTGATCTTCATGGACAATTAGCTGATTTATTACATATATTTAATGAGGTAGGGTAAATAATCCTAATTTTTCTCTATTTAAATTATCTATAGAATGGACTACCTGGAATTGATAATCCATATGTATTCAATGGAGATTTTGTTGATCGAGGTCGAAATTCCGTTGAAGTTTTTCTTTTAATTTTGGTTGCATTGATTATTTATCCAAGTTCAGTCTTTCTTAATCGAGGTATTGATGTTCTTCTTATTGTTTTTTTTTTTATTTAAATTTGTTTTTTTGTTTTGATAAAATTAAAAGGTAATCATGAAGATATAATGCTTTCAAGTTATTTTGGTTTTCAAGATGAAGTTAATAACAAATATCGAGTTAGTTCATAATTTATCGAAGATATTTATCGAATTTATATTTAGAGACAGAAAACACCATTACTTGATCTATTTAAAGATGTATTTAGTTGGTTACCAATATATTCTTCTGTTCATGCAAAAAAATCTAAACTTATGATAGTACATGGAGGAATATCTAGTCGTGTTGATCTACAAAGAATAAAGTCTCTTACAAGAAATCGATGTAAGATTAAAAATATGATATATACATATTTTTTAAGAGTATATCGACAATTCGGAATTTCAGCAAATTTTTTTTTTGTAATGTTTTTTGTCACAGTTCGATAGAGTTCATAGAGTTACTTATCAAAATGTTTTTTTAAACATATAAAATTGAAACACGCCAAAAGCATCAAGCTTCGAGAGTCGCAATATTTATCCGAATTTCATTTTGATTTTCCTCGTCGTATGTTTAGGATAAAAATTCTGCGTACTTTTTGAAAAACATTGTTTGATTGTATTGAGAAAATCGGTTTTTTTCTATTTGATAGCAAAACACCATAAATACCGATTTGTATTCTAAGGCTTTGACTATCAGAACTTGAGTTCCAAAAGAAACGAATATCATCTTTCGAATCAGCACAACAATATGCATCGAATAGTATAATCAATGTCCAAAATTAATAGTACACTACCTTACCAACACAATCGATACGAATCTCAAATGTATGCATGAGTAAATGTACGGGTGCGGATGTCAGTGTAAATTTCGATGTGTCCGTGCCTGTTCACTAGTTCAACCGATCCCGCACATACCCATTCAAATACACTGACAACCACTAACAACTCGGATTCATGAATTTCCAGCAGAAATCCACAGGAAAGACATCGTATCCAGTGGGAACTGGATAAATTTGGTTACGAAATTCATTCACCGCCTTCCTGGTTCCGGCAAGAACCGGTCGTATCTCATTCATCTGGGTAATAAAAGTTTGGGGATTGGTCGAAGATTCACAGTTTTTTATTTTTTTCGATCTATTTCAATTGATTTCGAGATCTGTATTTTGCACTAGACAAAACCTAAGAATAGCTTCAGAAAGAGTGTTCAAAATTAATCAAAACTAATATAAATAATGGCTAGAAATTCGGTAATTTTCAACACTGGACAATGTTTATCGTTTTGTAGATATTTCAATAGAAGTACCACCAAAATCTAAAAGTGGTGATCAACGATTGACTCCTGATGAAGATAATGAATATCGTCAAATGCAAGGTAGTAATAATACAAATAAATAATCCCCATATATTTGATATGAAATATATTTAGATTTATTGTGGAGTGATCCAGATCCTCATAATCGTCAAGGTTGTCGAAACAATGATGACAGAAATATAGGCTGTTTTTTTGGTCCAGATATAACAGAACAATTTCTTAATGAATATAACTATTCAATACTTATACGTTCACATCAAGTCAAAGAAAGAGGCTATGAATTTACACATGATCACAAAGTTTTAACTGTTTTTAGTGCATCAAATTATTGTGGTGGATCAAATTGGGGTGCAGTTATACGATGGTTTGTGTCAATGATATTATATGTTTTAAATATTAAATTTGTTTCAGGGATTATAACGAACAAGAACCATTGTTAATTCAATATAAAATTGAACATGTTGAAATGGGAAAATTAAATTTTAATAAAGAGTAAGATAATCAAAATCAAGATATTTCTGTTATTTCTTTTTTGTTTTTTTGTTCGTTAAAGAGTAACATTATTCGAAGATCCAGCTTATCAATCATTAGTGGAAAAAATTATGACAAATAAAAGTTTACTTCAAAAAGAATTTGAAAGAGCTGATAGATATCAAACTAGTATACAACTTATAATAATAGTTTATTTTTGAATAAGAATTTTGTTTTTGCCTCTAATTAGATCATTTATCTTTGACAGTTTGGTCTAAGATTATGACGAATGTACTTCATATTGATTTACCTTGGCTTATATTGCGTTCAAAACTTGTACAAGAAGATACACAAGGAATTCTTTATAATACAATGTTTGATGGATATATTTTAAATAATACGAGATTTCAAATGGTACAAAAAGAAAAGAAGAAATTATAAATTAATATTATATTCTTATTGTTTTAGTCTAATCCCGGTATTATGGAAGATTTATATATGTGGAAAGACATGCTTATACGATTATTTAATTTAATAGATTACGATCATTCAGGTATGATCCGTTTTATTTTGATAAACTATTTATCTATTATATGTTAAAATCATAGGTTTTATAAGTCGTAATGAATTTTCTGATGTTGTTAAACTTATACTTTATGATGAATATGGTACTGGTGATATAAATGAAGCATATATTGAAGAGCTTATTTCTGCTATGGATTTAGATAAAAATGGAAGAATTGATATTAATGAATTTCTTGGTAAGATTTGGATATGAAGTTTACGTTAGATATAATCATCGTTGTGATTAGATTTTTCATAGATTGAAGTCAAATTTTTTCTAGCCTTTTCGTCAAATTAGAACTCTATACACTTGATTTTATATATATTTATTTATCTTATGGTATGCTGAAAGATTGTTCAATCACTTTTGCATTGTGACTGTGCATTATGTAGATCCAAATAAACTATGAATGCCCTGAAAAGAGTTCTGACCATTAGCTTATTGATACGACGGAGATACTGCATATTTACGGTATTTTTTAAACAAATGCTATGCCTTCCCCCTTAGGAACACTAGAAAAAACTGATTTTCGAATTTTGACTTGAAATTTTACATAGAAACAGGCCTTAATGAGAATACGTTGTTGTGAAAGTTTCAGATCTTTTCATTTACTTCTATCTTGAAATGAGACCATAAAATCTGCTGACTTATCTGAGTGATATAAAAGACATCTCGCCAAATTAAAACGCACGTATCTCAGCATAATGAACTTTCCTAGAGGTAATTTTTATATATTACACGTACGTTAAGTTACTCTAGATATTCTGAAAAATCAAAACTAGAGACATTTGTTCAGAGAAGTTATTAGTACAAGCCTAGCGTTAGCGGCGTAATATAAAACAAGACATTGACATTCGCTTCATATGTTTTAGTTTAAAAAATCTTCGAATTGAGGCAATATTTTTGAAAATTAAATAGTACATTCTGTAGACAACTCCTGAAGCTGCAAAAATCTCTGCTAAGTACAATAGACAAAATCGTTATTGTTCTTTATGTATTTTTAAAAAAATTAAATATTATTTTTACAGAATAAAGTGAAAAAATCTATCGAACTAACCTTTTGCGCACAATATTTTTAAATTTTTTTTAATATTCTAGAAAGTTTTCGTATTGTTAATGTGAAAAAGTCAGAAAGATTGAATCAACCCAGACAACTAAGCAAAAAAGTTCAAATTAACAGCTATTAATCAAATGACATGGTATTCAACAATAAAATACATTCATTTCAATCTCTCTCTCTCTTTTTTTCTATATGATTGTTCTTGTTTTTGTTTTCATATATTAAAAATAAGATATTTTTTTCTCCTAGTTTTATAATTAATCAGAAAACAAAAACGTAGATCGATCTGTTGGTTTTTTTTAAGAATGACTAATAAAGACATTTTTTGATAATGGACATGCTACATCTTATAGAAGATAATATCATGTCAAATATGTCCATAAATTGCAGATTTGAATGTAAACTTTAGCACGAAAATATTCATAATGCGTTGCACCGGACATATACATATATTGTTTTGAGTATTCAAATGCTATACTAATCAAAGGTAAGGGTATATTGCAGTTCCATATGAATCAAAGATGGGTAAAGTTCAATTCTTAGCTAAATTGATGCAGTTGAGATCAGTATGCCGATATGTGAAGCAAGACAAGTCAATAAAACAAAACGACGCCATAAGTAACAATGAAAGTAGGATGTGAGTGTTGTCGAAAATAGAACATCCACACCCACACAATATTCAGCATTAAAAAAAAACAGAGAAAAACTGAAGTTTGAAATTATTTCAAAAAAATTCTGCTTGCAATCGAACTACTAGGGTGTAGGTGTGAGCTGATTGAAGATCCACATCCACACCCATACCTACCACACCCACACCTTCACGATAAACCCTTGGAAATAACTGGATCTATCGATTACTCTCCAATGAATTCTGCGCTGAAGCGATCCTTCCTAAAGAAAAATGCCTGTACTTGCCTTCTAGCTCCTCTGTGCTAAGACCAATCAAGTTGTGATTGATAATTACAATTAGAGTTCACCGAGTGTTATCTTCGGTGAAAGTATGAGCGTAAACGATCCAAGCTTGGATAGTTTTCTGTGATAGCGGGAATCTTTTTTTCACTATATATTGTCTTGAGGGTGAACTTCCTGGTACTCTCGTGAATTTGGGAGTACAATGCAAGTACGGTTGGTATACCTGAAGTATCGGAGTATGTCGTTTTCCTTCTGCCTGGAACGATATACTGATCTGGTTTCGATCCTATTACAAAGACTAAATGTTGGTGCAAGTCTATTAGCATTTTCATGCACTACGTTGCATTTTTCTACTTACTTGATTGCTTTAAAATGAACTCAACTATGCTCTCAGGAGACAATCATATAGAAAAATTATGAATTTCCAAATTTTCAACTGTTCCAGTGTATATAACAGTAAACTTACGACATTGGCTGAATTTTATTTCAAAATTAGGGTTCTTTTGAACTCATGCAGGACTACTTCATATTTTCTCAGAATGACTTTGAACATTCGACACAAACTATGAGGTCTGTTGGCTGAAGATCTGCTTTTAAAAAGTAGTTCGCAGCTTTACAATGTGCGCAAATGGCATGTTGAAACAGTTCGTGGCAGTTACAACAGGCGATTCGCTGGCGTTCAGTGTAGTGGTTATCTCGCCAAATATTTGACGATTGACAATGTGGGCAGTTCAAGTGCTGGAAAATAGTTTGACACTCATGACACGTAATTCGGTAGCCCGGTATACGATTCGCCTGTTTCCAGATGACGGGTGTAGAACACTTAGGACAATTAATGTGTTGATAGAGATTCTTGCAGCTGTGACATGTCACCTTTGAACCTGGTTTTCGGTCCGCGCTTTTCCACACATTCTGTGTCAAACAGTGCGGGCAGTTTATGTGCTGATATTGTTTCTTGCAGCTCCAGCACGTTGTTCTCAAACCTGCTTTCCGGTTCGCATCTTTCCAATAGTTCAACTCTGAACAATGCGGGCAATTGATAGCCTGATAAGTCTTTTCACAGTTAGAGCATTTGTAACGCAAACCAGCTTTATAGTTGTTGTTTTTAAAGTATTGAGCCGCCGAGCAGTGCGGGCAGTTGAGAGAGCGATACTCACCTTGACATGAACTGCAAGTGGTCAGCAATCCACCAATATGTCTGCTAGTGTGCCAAAACGATGGATGATGACAGTGAGGACAGTTGAGATGTTGAAATACATTACTACAGTACGCGCAAGTCACTCTTGTGCCTGCACAATAGTCGTTGTTCCTCCATACATTGGATTTGTGACAATGAGGACAGGTGACTTCATTAAAACTCCTTTTACAACTGAAACATGTGTTCTGTCCACCCGATCCATAGGTGCCCGGAAAGACAAGTGTCGTTGAGCAATGAGGGCAAGAAATCTTCTTCGTTGGCAACGCTAAAATTTACGGAAATTTCTTGACAGACTTGCTCGCTTATACAAAGTATTGGCCCATCTATATTGAACCTATTACTCCTCAGTTTTCAAATATGTATCTTCGACAATCTAAGAAAATGAAGGAGATAACTTGGCCATCTTTTTAAGATTTTCAATGATTCCAAGATAGTTCTATTTATTTAAGCTAGTTCTGAATGCTATAGATGATTAGGGTAGCATGATGAGAGCCCTTGTAGATTATAGTCGGATATATTTTTCATAGTTAATACAGTGACTTCCTAGAGTGGAATAGAATCAGTTTTCAAAAACTTTCAAGCGCAACCCCTGTCCGATTAAAATGTGAAACAAATTGGGCCAGATTCTAACTGCTCTCCAAGAACTCCCGGCATATTGATCACATTCTGTAGTAAGGTCAAACGCGCAGCACGTCGGCATATCTGTCGTAGACTGTGTTAAATCCAAAAACTACCGTGTCGATATGTCTGTTCCGGTCTGTAATACTTGATAACAGTTTTCGAAATATTGTGTTTTGGTCTCACCAACAACTGTGAGAGACATGTCAATATGTGCGTTTCAATTTGTGGTGGAGTAAAAGGATATTGGGATATCTGCCACAGTCTGTAATACCACAAAAAATTTTCGACGTAGCGGTGTTTGCTATCGCAATGAACTGTGCTCGACAGCATGAGGTTTCTCCATTATATTTCACATTTTAATTCAGTAGAGATTACACTGAAAGTTATGGTTGTTAGATAAAAAACTATCTGTTTTCTCTTTTGATCTTTCCTTTTTTGTTTTTAAAATAGAAAAGTCCTAATACAAAGTATTTTGATCATGCATAAATTACGATGACTAACCTGAACCAAAGGCAAAACAGCTGTGTCTGCATGGGAAAACAGCACTCCGAAATTCTAGTGCTTCACTACACCGAAACAAGCGTTCAACTAAGTGTCTGCCGCCTTCACTCTGTTCTTCCTTTCCTTCAATCTATCCAAGGTATTCCTCACCATTTGAAATGAAGTATATTGTTTCATATTAAAAAACGTAACTAAATGAGCGATGAATGTGACAGATAAAGTTCCATCATGATTTTCTCGGAAATAGCAAATAATCTCAGATGAAGAGAAGATATCAAAGGATGAGAGTGAAATATTTGGCACAGTAAAGCGAAGATGGTATTGGTATTTGTATAGTACTTAATGTGTGTCCTCACAACACCTCTACGTCTTCTATAAAATGCAAACCGAATACAGGCATTTTTGTTCCTCATCACTTGTTATACAAAGAAACATACACCAGTCCTTCCAATCTGCTGTCAAACAGCAGGAAAACTGTAAACTAAAAATGTGTATATGCGCACTCTAGAGTTCTCGACAAGAAGAATAAAACGAGTCTATTGGATATTGAGTTATTTCAAGTAGTATAAGAACTATAATGAAAATACTTAAATTTTATCAAAAGCACTTGTCCTATCTCCGTAGATTTGTAGTATAAGTAGGAACATCTTTGGTGATGCAGTACATGGAAAACAGATTTTTGACCAGTACTATAAAAGTCTATCTAAGGCGGATGCCTCCGCAAAGTGGGCAATTTGAAAAAGTCTGGTAGGTGTCTATTAAAGAGAAGCTTTATTAGGTACAGACGATGGATATTATGTTAGCTGCGTAAGAATAGAGTTTCAAAAAAATTTTAAATGATCTCCAGAAAAAAATAATTTTATAAGGGAAATTTTACAGTGCAATTCAGACTACTAAGCAGTCAAGCGAACTTTAGGAAAA